TTTCACTCAAAACGAAACTACTCTGCGTGCTGTGCGCACGTGAGACTGTTACTTAAAACTGTGCTTTATGCTGGGACAGTATTTATTTATCGCGAGTTGTTCAAATCACAGTAATCTAATACGGTTTTAATGAAAATTAAAAGATGAAACGGTAATACTAACCGTGGGGAATTTTATCATGATTTACCATGAAACCGGTAATCGTTACTTCCCTATTCGGCACAAATCTAAATGTTTAAATATTCAAGGTGTAGCCAAACATTTGGTTGCTAAACTAGTATTTATTATGTAAACAAGGCTTTGAACTTCTTTCGTGTCCCAGTATCCATGTAAAGCAGCATCCTTCACATGCTTAGAATAACACACTGGCGATACAGTGGTCATGCGCTCCGACACATCCCTATATACAACAGACAATTTAAACTGAGTTGTTTGAATTGTCTGTGTTTAGTTGACTGCATTTTAGATTTATGTTGAATATGCTGCAATGCCAAGTTAGCAATGGTGTCTGTCTTAATTTTGATCATTTTTCTAGGCCTTGAAGGAGAAGGAACTGGGAAATGCAGCATATAAGAAGAAAGATTTTGCTACTGCACTGAAGCACTATGAAGAAGCTCTAAAGCACGATCCCACCAACATGACCTATCTGTCAAACCAAGCAGGTAAGCATGCTCTTCAATTGCACACTCAAATACGGCAGCACATGCTGTAGCCTGTATCATTTCATACTAAAGTGCGAATGAAACGAGCATGCGTGTCAGATCCGCATCGGTTCAGCAACGGCAGCTCTTAAAGTAGTAGCAGCCAAATAACCTAATAGCCCAGCTGCTGTGATATCTGTTAATCAAAGAACAAAAGAAAAAAGAGGTCATCAATATCTTTATAGCTTTAAGGATTCATCTATATTTAATTTAGATGAAGTTATTTTTGACAACTTCAGTTTCAATTATTCAATTTCTGTATATTTCCTACTTGCTGAAGGGCACAGGTAAATATGTGATGCAATCTAAGAAAACCCACCACATGGTGAAATTTTACCTTTTTTAGGTTTTGATACCATATGAAAGCTGGGTTTAAACTGTTTTTATTTTGTCCATAGCTTGAACGTAACAAGTTATGGCTGTCTGAAGTTGGCTGATAGCTATGATTTTCAGAAATGGAATGTTGAGAAAAACGGGTTTAAATTGAGACTGATTCACTTCACGGGTTTTACGAGATCTGTCTGTCAGGAGCGCTATACTTCATCATTACATAAACAGACTAATGTTACCCTGAAGAGGACAGTTTTCGGTTGTTTATCATGGGCATAGTCTCTGAACTTTTGATCACGCCTTTTATGTTTAGATAGCACGAATAGTGTACCTTGTAGTTTACATTTAGAAAAGCGAGCACAGCGCAACTGTTCGCGCACCTGTGCATATAACAGACTGTCATCGGACTCCACCTCTTTAGTAACTTCATCATCCGATCCTTCATCTCTGGATGTGAAGTAGTCCATTATAACATTGTTTAGGGCACTGACATCACCAAGATTGAGCAGATTGAGACGAGCAAGATCGTTTAAGTAAGCAGCTACTTCAGACTGTGTTGTTTTCTTGCGCTCCGCCATCTCACGATATTAAAAAATAAATAAAAAAACTTTGCGTGCCGTAGTTTACACAGTGGGAAATGTGCATTGATACACCTTTATTATATATGTTACGTGGTTTATTTTGATAGGTTAACTGTTTTTGTGGTGTTAAGAGAAAGCACCTCGGACCTCCGCAGCGCGTTCTTAACATAAGAGAAAGACAGTCTTTTCTGCTTGCTGCAATAAATCGCTATTTTTCTGCACTAAACAAGTGCATTTTGCCAAGATATTTTCAGAGATGATAGACAAGATGTTAAAGAATAATAATTTAATGGAAACCTTAATTTTGACAAAAAATTGACATTTCAACCTATTTTTCGAATTTCCTGAAAACGTCCCAGCGCAACATCTGACTGGTTTTCCCAGATCGCATCACATATGACATTTATTATAATGGGTTTATGTGAAGAGTTTTTTTTTTTTTTAATAATAAATGTTAAAATTGATGGATCTCAATTATACAGTAATGTTAGTGTAGTCAACATTACATATAGTGGATAAATATTAGGGGAAAAAAAGAACAATTTCCTAGAGACATCAGTAGTATTGGTATCAGTGGCAATGTTTACATGCACAACTTTTGTTTCAATTGGATTGAATTCATTCAGATTGATGAATCTGAATGTAGTGTTTACATAAACATTCAAAGCAACCCGATCACTTTATTTAGAGTTCATGTCACAAGCTTCAAATCAATTGATTTTTTTTTGTTAACTGTTTTTGTGGTGTTAAGAGAAAGCACCTCGGACCTCCGCAGCGCGTTCTTAACATAAGAGAAAGACAGTCTTTTCTGCTTGCTGCAATAAATCGCTATTTTTCTGCACTAAACAAGTGCATTTTGCCAAGATATTTTCAGAGATGATAGACAAGATGTTAAAGAATAATAATTTAATGGAAACCTTAATTTTGACAAAAAATTGACATTTCAACCTATTTTTCGAATTTCCTGAAAACGTCCCAGCGCAACATCTGACTGGTTTTCCCAGATCGCATCACATATGACATTTATTATAATGGGTTTATGTGAAGAGTTTTTTTTTTAAGGTCTAATAAATGTTAAAATTGATAGATCTCAATTATACAGTAATGTTAGTGTAGTCAACATTACATATAGTGGATAAATATTAGGGAAAAAAAAGAACAATTTCCTAGAGACATCAGTAGTATTGGTATCAGTGGCAATGTTTACATGCACAACTTTTGTTTCAATTGGATTGAATTCATTCAGATTGATGAATCTGAATGTAGTGTTTACATAAACATTCAAAGCAACCCGATCACTTTATTTAGAGTTCATGTCACAAGCTTCAAATCAATTGATTTTTTTTTACATGCGCACACTGCAAGCATATAGAAAGTTTCCTGCTGTTTGCGCATAATAACCATTCTCCTACACTGTTTCTTTATTTGTTTTAAACAGCAGAATTAATATTTATCCATTTTTGGATCGATTAAGGTGTTTACATGAAGGCTTTTCAGTCCGATTAAGCCATCAATCCGATTACAAATGGATTATTTGGTTGTGTGTAAACGTAGCCAGTGATACTCACCTTCAGTCATTAAAAAGATGCCATTAAACAAATGTAAGATATACTGTCTTTATGTTGTTTTTACATTAATTTGAAGATTAAATGTGAAATTATTGCAATATAAATGTATAATTAAAAACTTGAATGTTAGGTGGGATTAATTACGATTAATTTTAGAAAATTATGCAATAAATTAGTTTTTTTTTTTTTTTTATCGATTGACTGCACTTTGGATGATTCACAGAATGCTATTATAATGTTGCTGTCATATCCTAGGCTTACTGTGGTGTGATCAGTCACTTATGAGAAAACATTGGTATAACTGTTTTAATGTGTATTGTACTGTTTTGGAGTTTTGCCAATGGACTTTGAGTCTGGAAATAAAGTTGAATAAATGAATGTATTACTATTTAGATTTAATTTCCAGTTAGTCATTTTAAGTGCTTCAATTTAATTCCATTTCAGTTGCAAAGTTTTTTAATTTTTAATTTAGTTTTTCATCTAATATTCATATTTTATTTAATCGCAGCTTAATTTCAATGAATAGCAATGCAATGGAATGGAATGCAAATACACATTCTGTGTGAACCATTTAACCACTTATTTAACAACAGTGAGATGCATAGCAGCAAAATAATCTTGTGTACGTCCCCTTATGGTGTTTTTTAGCCTTTGCCCTTCCACTTAGGTTTTGTTCAAGTGTGAAGATAAAAGGTTTGGTGAGGAGTTTTAATAAAGTCTTATGTAGGATAAAACTACCTTAACTACTCAAACAAACCCACAACTACTACAAGTGAATACTTCTAATTAAGTGTGTCTGTTTTCTCTCTCAGCTGTGCATTTTGAAAAGGGGGAGTTTGATAAGTGCAGAGAGCTTTGTGAGAAAGCCATTGAGGTGGGCAGAGAGAACCGGGAGGATTACAGACAGATTGCCAAGTAAATTTTCTGTACCAGAACAAAACTGAAAAGTAAGAGTTAATGTATTTATGGTACCTCTATAATGATTTATTTGTCTCTGTTTGGTTGCAGGGCATACGCCAGGATTGGTAACTCCTATTATAAGCAGGAGAAGTACAAAGAGGCAGTCCAGTTTTTTAATAAGAGTCTGACAGAGCATCGCACACCTGAAGTCCTCAAGAAATGCCAGCAGGTCATTGAGATTTTTGGTGAAAGATTCACACCAATATCCCCTAGTATATCTCTCTTTTTTCTGTTAGACTGTGGTGTCCTGGTCATATTTCACCTGAAAATGAAAGTAATGAATTAAGAAGTTTATTTTCCTTTTAAAAAAAATTGTCATGAGGATTTTTTTTTTGAAAAATACTGTTCCATTATACAAAAAAAAAAAAAAAAAATACAAATTTTAAGCCTTAAGTAGTGTGAAATGAGACTTAAAACTCCAAAGTAAAATATCTATACTCAAAACTTTTGTTGATGGGAAGCTATTTCTTCCTGCTCTTTACAGGCGGAAAAGATTTTAAAGGAACAGGAGAAGCATGCCTACATCAATCCAGATTTGGCACTGGAAGAAAAAAACAAGGGCAACGATGCCTTCCAGAAGGGTGTGTATATGAACCAAATCAACACTGCTGTAACGTTCCGATTTAATAAGATTTATTTTGAAATAATTTAGATTGCAATTTCATTTGTTCTGTTGCTGTGTGATATGTAGGTGACTATCCTTTGGCCATGAAACATTACTCAGAGGCTATCAAGAGAAACCCTTATGATGCAAAACTCTTCAGCAACCGAGCTGCCTGCTACACCAAACTACTGGAATTCCAGCTGGCCCTCAAGGTACAATCATGCATACAAACACACAGAGATTGTTTGAAGCACTTATAGTGGGCTAGATCATGTTCATGTTGTGAGTTTTTGTCACATGTTATTTAAGGTGAGTATGAAAGTATCGGATGACTCCATCCTTTTTCCTCGGGGCACCAGCTAGTAACACCAGCAGGTAACACTTTACATTAGGGAACACATTCACAATTTACTAAGACTTTTCTCTCGATAAACTCTTAATTTGCTGCTTATTGATAATAAGTAAGGTAGTTGTTTGTAGTAGTTCTGCTTAGGTATTGGGTTGGGTTAGAAGGTCGTTCAGAATAAGGCATTCATATGTGCTTTATAAGTACTAATAAACAGCCAATATGCTTGTAATATGCATGCTAATAAGCAGCTAAGGGTTCAACCGTAATGTTATGGAGCTACGTAACAAAAAGTATTCTCGTAGCTTCGTAAAATTACAGTTGAACCCCTGATGTCACATGGATTATTTTACCGATCTCCTTGCTACGTTTCTGGACCGTGATCGTGTAAGGACCCTTGCTGTCTGTGGGAGGGTCAGAGAGCTGTCAAAATGCATCAAAAATATCTTAATTTGTGTTCCGAAGATGAACGGAGGTCTTACGGGTTTGGAACAACATGAGGGTGAGTAATTAATGACAAAATTTTCATTTTTGGGTGAACTAACCCTTTAATAGTGAATGGTGTTCTCTAATCTAAAGTGTTACCTGAATTTTCCTGTACTGTAAATCTAGGAGGATTGTCAAATAAATAAAAAGTATGTATATTGGAGAGAGTTTGTCAGCGGACTAATCTGAAGAATTCGTGACACATTGGTGACTTGTAGAGCTACTTGCTGTATTAACACAAGAAAGACTCAGGTGGTCAATTAAATAACACTACTATGTAATGAATACCATGAATGGATAAATTAA